GAGGATAGGCATGCCATACCAAAATGAAATCTTAGTTCAAGGGTAGCAAGAATTAAGCCATTATATCTTCGTCAATGCAAGTAAAGTCAATATCCAACATATACAACAAAACAGCTGGGGGATTTCAATAACTTGTTGAAGATTACTTATGGGAAAGGAGCCATTTACAACTCCAGGGAAAGTTGTAATAAACTATGGACAAAGCCTTGGAAAAACCATGAGACAAATCGAAATGTGGCATGAAACAAAGAAACGGATACAATGATATTTCAATTAATATACATATGAATAGGAATTCTGACATCAAAATATTCTTTATTGATCCATTCATACCAGAGTCTTCATTAATATACCTAAGCAAAACAGAGTGATGTTTTTTCCTTTTCTAAAAAAAAAATTTTAAGGATCATCCAACAGCAAATATAGGGTAAAACGTAACCATAGTCTCATATGTTAATTGTAGGGGTTTTAAACTTTGACATTAGACTATAATGTTTTGTTAAAGTAAGAATTCAAAGTATATATGACAAAAGATATACTCTGGGGCATTTAATTCTTCACTGAAATAGATGACAGTTAAAAGATTCTATCTACATTTAGTAGATATATATAAAAAATCTATAAGTTGTTGTTATATGTTGCTGAATTGGAACCAACTCTTAGCTGACCAAGTCCAGTGGGTTTTCAGAGGCTGTAAATCACACAGCAGGAGACTACCCATCTTTCTCCCACACAGCAGTAGATTTGAGCTGTCTGCCTTTGGCTTAACAGAGAAACTCCTTCCCAGTATTGACACAATTTTCTGCATGCTGTTGTTTATCATCTAGCATATCATGCTTACAGTGGCCATCATTCAAATCACATTTACACCAAAATCTCTTATCAGCGTCCTATTTTCCCAAACCAACTTAAAAGAATTGCAAATATCTGCTTTTCTCAGTCCTCTTCTATAAACTATCAGTTACTTATTCATTGCTTTCTGATTTGGTTTGCGAAGTAAACTTTCATTATTATCTGATTAAAATATGAACCTTCCCAAAGTACAACCCTTATCTTATTTATCTTTTATAGAGGCAGACACAAGCTCTATCAGCTTTGTTTGATGTACAGTACTTTTTAGTAAGCAAAAATAGAACACAGGATATAAATGAGGGAGGAAAGCAAAGCAACAATACAGATTAGTTAAATCTCTCATAGGTAAAAGAAAATTTGTAGTTGAAAAAGCTAATTATTTTAATTGTTACAGTACCTGTACTAGGAAGTGAGCCCCATTTTGAAGGAATGCATCATTTCTTATTGGTAATTTCATAGTAACTTGAGTTTTCTGCTCTGGGAAAATGAGGCTGTTTCTCCTAGATACATTTAAAATGCCATCTTTGGCTCGCAAAGGGTCCAGAGGTCCAGCAGGAATATAAAGTGCAGAAAAAAGCAGCCTCACATCGCCTTTAGTTCCACCTTGTCTTGAAAAGCTCAAGGATAAAAATCGTTCACCTGGACTGCTTTCAATTTTCTGGTTTACCATGGGAAAAAATGTTATCAGGCCGTAAACATCATCACTATCTTGAATGTAGAACAAAAGCTGCAGAAAAAGAAATATAATCTTGAAGTGCAGAATTCTTCATGTGAATTCACCAAACTATTTTCTAGAGGTATCCTGATTTTCATCATTCATTTATCAGTTTATCAAGTCTGAAATTGATGACTTCTAATACCAAGCAGGGTAAAAGATGAATCAAAAGAGGTGGAGTCACTACTAAATTATAGTTTGTGAGGTTATTTTTTAGAGCAAAATATTTATTTTCAGAAAGAACAAACTTGACCAAGGGAAGTGACAATCAATTCTATCATCAGTGTTCTTCCTGTCACATGAAACTAAACATAAACTTGATTTACATACTCAAATTTTCTGGCTCTTTTCTTACACAAATAAATATTCACAAGTATGAAGCATAGCAGGAGATTTACCTCTGCTGGTTCGCTTACTTCTGCACCTCCGCGTATTGTATGAGGCTGGATTTGAATCAGAAAAGCTTCTGCCTCTTCGGGAAGATCATCATTCACAACAGTTAGAGGAATTGATGCCACCATCTGCCCCTGGGCAAAGTGGAGAACTCCAGAACTGGGACTGATATCAGCTGTCACTGGTGAAGGGTCGCTGCTGTTTCGTGTCAACAACCAGTTCACAGACACATTCCCGTGGGTGCCACCATTTCTGACAACAGTAATTTCTTCAAACCTAGAATGTTTGAAAGAGTAATACAGATGCTTACCTAAGGTGACAATCTATTATTCAAAGAGTCATATATATTGTAGGAAATTTAACAGCACATAGCAGCATCAATGGGTTTCAATGTCAACTGATTATCTGACGCTGGTAAAAGTGGAATGAACATCACAAAGTTAATTATTCTTAATAAAAAGGAATAGGTAGGTGAAGGGGTCCTACAGCACTAAAATACTGTGAATTCATTTATATACTTAAATCATCGCAAATGGAATTTAAAGAAAGTAAAGCCAATGTAAGTGAAATGACACACACTCTAACAGTTCAAGCAATGTGTCCAACATCACAAAAATTACATCTTTGGATAATATATTAAGATAACTACAGTATTGAGTTTAAAATTAACCATACCTTGAGACTGTGTCTTCATCAATTATAACTGTCCTTTCAAACAAGATGCTGTTGAAGGACAGGACTCCATAAGGTTTGTCATTTGGTTTAATGGTGACTTGTGCAACAGAAGGACCTAACAGCACAGCATCTCCCCGTAAGGAATCCTTCAGCAGCACAATATGAAAGGATTCCGCAATCTCTGGTATGGCATCGTCAATGATTTGAAATCGCAGATGTGATTCATGAATGAAAGGTGGAAACAAAATAGTTGTATTGGACTGAAGATCGATGAAGTCTACATTTTGTTGGGCATGTGCTGTTGAATTCCCAGTCACAACAGCATAACTGATGGAAACTTCATCTTCATCAGAGCCAATCAGATTCCCATTATCATCTTTCCCACGAACCACTGGAATCAAAAGTATATGATCTTCCTCAGGTACCAAAAAAATACTCTGAGCAAATCTTACAGGACTGTCATTTTTCTTAATGATAATCTCAACTGTGCTCCTAGAAGCATTGATCTCAGCTCCTCCCTCTAAACTTTTCAGCTGAATCAAGAACATTTCATCATTTTCAGGCACCTGTCAAAGAAATATAAATAATGACAGCATCAACCCCCAAAATACCTGCAAAGAATCCAAAGTGTAAAAGGTCACTATGTTTCAGTGTAATTACACAGAGGTATCTTAAAAATATTTAAGGGAGTAAATAGAAATTGTACAGTCTTTAGTTAAGAAAATATTTCTGAAAGGTAAATTTTGTATGGAGAGGTACTTTGCATAAAAATACAGTAATGTGTTTTAACCTTGATCAGTCTTTAAATAATGCTAAAAACTACATAGCAAAGATGGACATGAACTCTTCTTTGCTTTACTAGGTTGTAAAATCAGAAGCAGCACTCAAAGTCTAGCATATTATAATCTATAAGATTACACACTCTGATGGCTAGTACAAAGAGTTTTGCTATGCTAATTCAAATGCTGCTTTCCTGTCAGTATAAATCCACCAGAGGCTTCTTGAAGAATAGATGAGCAATCTCTCTCATATGATTTGCAGCCTTAAATACTCAGTGAAGGGTCAGCTACACATTGATTTCAATTTGAAGGCAATGAGTGAGTGGGTAGTGAGTGATTTCACTCAAAAATTATCTCTGTATCCCTCTTGTTTCTAATTCATGAGTCAACCATATGATGTCAATGATATGACCCTCAAAATGTATATTTGTTTCTAAAGAATGAACTGTAAGAGTCACTATGAGGCAAGATGTTAATTTCTACAGCAAGTCTTTTCTTTTGTAACTCACAGAAATCCAATGGTTGATCTCAGCTCAGCTTTAACTCTTCCTTCACTCAAAATTCTATTACTCACCTGTATCAATGAAATTGTTTTTAAGAGGTATTTGTTGTTTTTATTATGTGCCATCGAGTCAGAACAACTCAAAGCTGACCCTCCAGAGAGCTTTCAGAGGCTGTAAATTGTACAGGAGGAGACTGCTCATCCTTTCCCCGTGGAGTAGCTGGTGAATTTGAACACTGTGCCTCTGTGTTAGGAGCAAAATCCCTTACCTACTACAACAGAACTCCCGAAAAGTAAAGGTATTTATCTCAAAAAATAAAATTTTACCATTTGACTGAGGATCTTTCATATGCATCTACAATTTTATATTTACAAATAACAATCTTTCAATATTCCAGACTCTTCACATTAAAAGATGTTACTGGATTCCAGAATCCTACAGACTACAGTTATTGATACACTTTTCTCATAAAATTCCCTAATATATTTGTATTTTATCTCCACAGGAGTTTAATGTGATTTGGTTCTTGTATTTTTGTAGGAGTTTGGGGAGGAAAGATTATAAATTCCTCTGTGTGTGTGTGTGTGTGTGTGTGTGTGTGTGTAGCACTAATTAAAAGCTTTGGCTGCTAATCAAAGGCTAGTGGTTTGAGCTCGCCATCCACACTCCTTGGGGAAAGGTGTATCAGTATACGTTCATAAAGATTGACAGACCTAGAAACCCTCCGGGGCAGTTCTCTTCTGCCCTACAGTCACTAGAGTTGGAATCTCCTTGCCAGGAGTAGGCTTCACAATACCTGAGTTATTTCATAAAAGTCATGTTTTCTGCTCTGTTAAATTTTGCTATTCTTACTGGGGTGAGTGAGAAGATCTCTCATAGTTGTGTTGATTTGCATCTCTCTAAGAGCTAGGGATGTTGAATATTTCTTCATGTGATTGTTGGCCATCTGAATGTCTTCTCTGCTGAATTATCTGTTCATATCCTGTGCCTATTTTGCAATTGGGTTATTTACCTTTATCTTGTTGTGGTGCATGAGTATTCTATAAATTCTAGATATAAGACCCTTATCAGACATGTCATTACCACATATTTTTTTCCCAGTCTGTGGCTTTCCTTTTTACCCTGTTGGAGAAGTTTTTTGATGTGCATAGGGGTTTGATTCTTAGAAGATCCCATTCATCTCTTTTATTCTCCCCTGGTTGTAGGGTTTTCAGGATGCTTGGAAGATGTATTATTTGCATAACAACAGTCCAGAATAAGAACTGCATATAGCAAAGTAGACTAGGAGTGGAGAAGGGAGGAAATTGTGCAACAATGAAAGAATTTTTTTTCAAACAGAAAAGTGAACCCGGGGGTGGATAGGGAGGAAAATGTGCAACAAGGAACGAATGGAAATCCAAGTTTTCTATATACTTTTATTAAAATCTCAATTAAAATGAAAAAAAATTAAAAGAAAGTCATTTTTGCTCTTTAGTTTAAATGGAAGACTCTTGTATGTGACTGTTCAGATGTATTCTTTCTTCAGCAGTAAGGATAGTTACAGCATATCTCAATCCTAAGTAGCTTCAATGCGAAATGTGAACACTAAAACATCCAATCACATTAATATTTGTAGTGAAGTTTTCTTTGCTTTTCGAGTAAAATATTTCTGCTAAATAATCCCTGTTAAAAACAGGAAGTAACTACTAAAAATCACCACATGCTAAAACACTTGGGTTATGTATGGTTTCCATTTTATTAATATTCATTTGTTTTTAATGAATAATTTATGTGAGGTAAGTATATGTCAAAATATAACAATATATCAAAATACTCAGCAATTTCTAGTCAAAGTATGCTTGGTCACAAACCACTAACTTTACATAGGACTGCATTCTGTAACATTTCGAGTACTGAGTACAAGGTAATCATGTAACCTTTCTAAAACATCAGTAAGGTAGAATCCCAGTCCCCCAGGAGTATTCAACAATATCCCACCTCATCATCAAGTACTGTCAAGTTATAAATTACAACTGCTCTGCCAGGGGGAAAGGTGATGTTTCCTTTAACTGGACTCAAATCTTCTTCTGGTGGATTTGGGCCACCTTCAACCTGCAGCAACCATATACAAAGCATAACCATAAATGCGTTATCAAGAAATGCAAAATGTTTCACAAGATTTAAAATACATTATTGTGATGTCACCTGGCACAAATATGAACTTTATTTTAAAATGTTCGGCAAAATAAGTTACTCTAAATTGTTCATAAGACTACCCTTTTAACTAGTAGTCAAGGCCTTTAATGTAGTTCTAGACCTTGACTATAATTATATCAAATTACGTGGTTTTAAAGTGCCCTATTATTTTTTCAATCATTAAGCCTGTGAAAAACTTATTAAACACGTCTTCTTGAAAAGGTTTTCTTCAAGACCAGTAAATTATCTTAAGTAACAGAATCAGATAATAAATCCGCAATTGACTATTTGGACTCAGGCAAGTTATTTAACAACTTTACACATAATTTTCCTCACCTTTAAAATGAGCTTGGGGGGGGATGACAAAAAAAATTAAATAAAATGAGCTTGACAATATTCTCTTCATATGCTTGATGTTGTTGCTAAGTGCCATCAAGTCATAGACGATGCATAACGAATCTATGGATAAAAGACCTCAACACCTGTATAACTTTCATCCTTTCTCCAAGTTCATAGAGTTTCCAGAGACAAGCTGTTTTGGAAGTGGATGCCACTCCTGCTTCAAGCCTGTTTTAATCTGGGAGCTCCACCAAACAATGTCCACCATTGGTAACCATTATCTCATTTGACACATCAGTGTCACAGTGTTTCATTCATTCATTCATGCATGCATGCATTTTAAAATGATTTCATGAGTACTATGACATCTTCTATATATTATGAATACAGCAGTGAACACTGTAAACTTCCTACTCCATGAATCTATGTTTAGTGGAAGGGGAATAAATGACAGATAAATCTGTGTATGTCTAATGAAAAGTACTGGGGGCAGGGAAGGAAGAAGAAGATGAAGGCAAGTGATGGAGCCTAGAGGCATTCACTGTTGCTGTGTACTGTCAGGTCAGAACTGACTCATAGCTACCCCTCCAGTGGATTGTCAGAGGCAGCAAGTCACACCGGAGAATGCTCATCCTTCTCCGGTGCAGCTGCTTATGGAATTGAACCACATGCCTTCGGTTTGGCAGTGCAGCTCTTTATTACTACGTCACCAGAGGCGTAGTACATGGCATGTTCAACAGTCAACTGAAGAAGTTAGTTTAAATTCACTAGCTGCTCCTTGAGAAGAAGTGAGGTGTCACTTTCTGTAAAGATTTGCAGAAACAGAAACCTGATTGACAGTGAAGTAAGAATTGCTTTCTGGCAGTAGAAGGGAAAATTAATACTGAGGGGAACAGCTACTATTACAGAGCATTGACAAGCCACTGATGAAAAAGAAAAACACTTAGGAGAAAAAAGAACAGTCCCATCTTCCCTCACTCACACACCAAAAAAATCCAACCCAACTTCAGTTGGATTCCAATTCCTACTGACAGTTTTAAGCTCAGTAGAATGACCTTATAGGGATCCCAAGAGTGTAAATATTTAAGAAAAGACGACAGCTTCATATTTCTATTGTGGAAATGGTAGTCAACCCACTGACATTCCAGTTAGCATTCAAGCACTTTAACAGTTGCATCACTAGGGCCCCTGTGAAATTATTAAGTTCTCCACAAATTTTAGCTATAACTATGTAAACAAAATCAAGAGATGAACTGCATTGAGGTAGTCTGCCATCAGGGACATCTCCAAAGCACCAAGGAGTATGATGTCAGTCTAGGGACTGAGGTGTGCCTGATCCAGGACATGGTTTTCTCAATTACTTGCTATGCATCACAGAGCAGAACAATGATCAAGAGTGACAGCAGAATAATTTATACCTTCAAATTGTGGTGCTGAAGAAGAGTACTGAACATCATGGACCTCCAAAAGAACACACAGGTCTGTATTGGGGTCAAACCAAGTTTCTATTTGGAGGCAAGGATTTTGAACCTCCATCTCATATAAGGTGAACATGTTGCCAGAAAGGACCAGTCTTTGGAGGACATCATGCTTTGGAGGGTGAGGTACAGTGCAGGAGTAGAAGACCCTGGATAAGACGGACTGACACAGTAATGGGGGCAAGTGTGTCAGAGTCAGTAAGACTGGCTCAGAAAAGGGCAGCGTTCAGAGCTATTGCACATAGGTCACTATGAGTCGCAGGCAAATCGACGGCACAAAACAACAACAATAACAATGTACATGAAACTAAAGGCTAAAGATGAAATAAAATATCTATCAAAAACTCATTGTTGTCAGATCAACTCAGAATGGACCCTTCAGCAGATTTTTTGGAGGTTATAATTTGTACAAGAGAAGACTGTCCATGAGAAGCTACTGTTGTATTCAAACTGGCAAAGAGTTTTGTGTTAGCAGCACAACTCCTTATGGACTACGCTACCAGAGCGCCCGCAAACAGCAGTGTTGTTTTTGTGGAATCAGAACCAAGTCATAGCTGATTTTTAGAAGGTTTTTAGAAATAATAAATTACTCTGGAGGGCAGTGCCCATCTCTCTCCTGTAGAGGAGCAACCATGTTCCTTCGGATTAGAAGCACAATCCCTTACCATCAGCCATCAGAATTCACTCAAACATGAATAGAGTGCTTAAAACTTGGACATCTTAATTTTTCCATGTTATATATTGTTGTTGTTGTTGTTGTTGTTGTTGTTATGTGTCGTTGAGTCGCTTGCGATTCATAGTGACCCTAAGTAAAACAGCCTTAAACTCTGCTCTGTCCTGTGCCAATCGCACTGTCTCTGATACACCCATCCCGATTACCCCAGTTACTGAATCAATCCACCTCCCAGAGGGCCTTCCCCTCCTGCGTTGTCCCTCCACCCTCCCAAGCATGACGCTATATATATATATATATGCAACATTTTAAAATATAACACGTAAGTGCACCTTCTTAAGTATATATCATATAGCTTGAGGTTTCCAGTGTAAAACATGCAAGACTGCTGTTGTTGTTCTTGTTCTTGTTGGGTGTCATTAAGTCAAGCACAACTCATAGCAATCCTATAAACAACAGATCTGAACCTTGACCTATACTTTGCCAATCTCACAGTCTCTGACACACTTGAGCCCATTGCTGTAGTCATTGTGTCAATCCACTTGGCTAGGGTCTTCCTCTCCTTCACAGTCCCTCTACTTTTCCAAACACGATGTCCCTCTCCAAGAAACAGCTTCTCCTAGCAACATGCCCAATATATGTGAGATGAAGCTTCACCATCCTTGTCTCCAAGGACCAAATCTGGCTTTACCTTTTACAAGTCATATCTGTTTGTTCTTCTGCTTGTATTGTTGTTGTTAGGTGTCATTGAGTTGAGTATGACTCATACTGACCCTATGAACAACAGATCTGAACCCTGTCTTATCCTGTGCCATCCTTGGGCTTCCTGACAAATTAAAGCCCATTCCAACAGTCACCATGTCAATCCACTTGGATGAAGGTAGTCCCCTTCTCCGACCCTCCACCTTTCCGATGTTTGCCATGATTTTTCCTCATTTTGAGTGACTTCCAGTCTTGGCTCTACCACTACTATTATAACTATCCACATTCATCTACTCTCTCAGAATAGTAAACTGACAGACAAGTGCTGTACCAAATTAGAACAATCTTTTTCCCAAACACAACAAACTGACAATTTAGTTTGTACCTCTAATAGCAAGTCATTCAGCACACCAGTTATATCACTAGGGCTCCTATAGAATTGATGTCTTTGAGTTGTGATGCTGGAGAAGAGTACTGAATATACTGTGGACTAATAGGAGAACAAACAAGTTCATCCTGGAGAGGGTGAAACCAGGCTGCTTCTTGGAGGCAAGGATTCTGAAGCTTCATCTGACATACTTTGGGCTTGTTGCTAGAAGGGGCTAGTCCTTGGAGAGGAACATCATGCTTGAGAGGGTGGAAGGACAGTGCAAGAGAGGAAGACCCTGGATGAGATGGACTGACTCAGTGACTAGGGTAATGAGGATAGTTGTGTCAGAGACAATGAAGATGTCTCAAGATAGAGCAGGGTTCAGAGCTGCTTTGCATAGTGTCTCTATGAGTCACAAGTAACTCACAGGCACATCACAAAAACTATATATTTATCTGTCTTTATTTATATGATTATTCCTCCATCCTGAGTCATGTTTATTCACAATGAAAG